CATGCTTAGAGATATATCAGACGTTGGACCAGAGACAGAGAGGGTGATACAACGGGTGATACTCAGACTAGTGTTAAGGCTTCATTCCTACAAAACCGTTTTGTATTTCAATTTATTAAAAAAGGAGTGGACTGCAACATTAGGCAATTAAATGGGGTTGATACCATTCAAACCTTTTATTGGTTCGTAACTAGTGTTAATTGTAACTATGAAAGGGACCTTTAAACTGGATGGGATGTTAGAATTCTTATTTCTTGATACCTTTCATTGGTGTAACTATGGGGCACATGTCTCTCCCCCCCCCATTCCATTTGAAATCTTGAATTGCACACAAATAATGTATATGTTACCTTCCTTTGCCCCCCCCCCCTTCAAAAAATTGGTGAACCCCCAGGTGCCCCCTAGAAGCTTAACCCTAGTTATGCCGTTGGTACCTTTAGGAAGTTCCAGATCGCGTACATTTCACTCCCATAGAATGTGTGATATTTATAAGTTATCTATAGGTGTGGTGGGTACTTGACTGCACCCTCGGCAACCATACGATATCAGTTCTTCCACTTGTTAGATGTCAAGTTTAGTTGTTTTTACGCCCGTAAGTTAAAGAAATATTTACTTTCAATATTCTTTTTGTATAAGCATGCCCCATTCATTTTCGAAAAACAATTCCACGTTCTGATTTTTCCCTTGTAAAGTGGTTGCTAAGGTGTCGACAAATTTTTATCATTCATGTGTCACTTTTTCGCTTAAGATTTCTAGACATTTATAGTTTCACAGGGTAATATAATACTGAACATAAAACCCCAGCAGGCGATCTTTAACATACAAAAGATTTCTTTTTGCTACATTTTGTTTTGATAAAAAAGAAAATTTTTCAAAGCTGACTATAAAGCAGTGTTGTTGTAGTGTTTGCTTGTTTGTTTTTTTGCTCGCAATACGTGGTACTAGACCTCAACAAGCATGACTAATTTTCTAAGATCATAGTTACATTCTCAATATATTTTGAGAGCATGTTGACAATGTCCAAATGTGGTCAATCAGGAGATAAAAAAATCAAGAGAAAATCTGTTCACAAATCTGATTACTTGATGATCCCCTCTACAATTATGATTATGTACAAGTATAAATGTTGGGGAAACCACTGATGTTATGTTTTTTTTCAAAAACAAAATGGTCCTAAATGTAAACAAATGACAACTGAGAAAAGACGGTTGTTTCATGAAATCATTGTTGCTATGTTCTCAACAAACGTTTTTAAAAATGTCTTTGACAAAATATACAGTGAATGAACTAACTAGTGATACAATAACAACGGCTTCCAAATTAAGTGGTCTATAAATGATAAAATACAAATATATATTTTTGAGTCGCATCATCGATGTAAAATAGGCAGCCTTCATTACGTATGCAAATAATAATAGGAGTCGCACATGCCCAGTGGAAAATGCAGCTGAAATGTATGTGAGATGCTGATTGGTAAAATAACAGACTTTGGATCTTTGCTGAAATGCCATTGTTGTCATGGAAGCTGTGTTCTCTGGGAGAAATATTCTGTAATTAAAGCAAATGCTCATTGCTTCATTTAGACTTCTTGGTCTATCAGCATTTAGCAAACCAATACTTATTCAAAGTAGCAAAAGCCTCAATCTTTTATGGAATAAACTAAACTATTATTGTAATGATACGGAACCTCTCACAAGTAGGTCATTCTATACATTTAGGGTCCAAAGTCGGACATTTTTCCTGTCCTTGTTGTAATGTCCAATGCTTTATAATAATCCGATTTCAGACTGAATAAAACACAGACACGATTTCTGCTGTTCTGATGCATATGTGCCATGTTGGATGCATAATACAACACATGTGAGCTTGCTGTGATTGAAGCATTTAACTAGAATAATAGTGGCTCATCATTGAAGCCTTTAAATAATATAATGAGGGTTATTACACTTCTCCTTTTCTTTGAAGAACTTAGCTCTGAAAGTTTAAGTGAGATTGTTTGATCTCGTTTGCTATAAGGAAAACAATCCTAGTGTTCATTTCTCCAGTCTCAGTTTCTTGCAAATATTTTTCTTTTCGCTCTCATCTGAATTTGTCTTAATATCTTTTTTTTCTAATAAAATTCCTTAGTACTTCTGAAGGAATATCAAAATGAACTGAAACTTAATTATAATGAACAATTTCCAATCGAAACTATTTTGTTTTCTTTCTCCATCTCTTTTTGGAAAATATCTGAACAAATCCTTAATTTCGTTTTTTTTTTTTTTTTTCTTTCTTTGAAACTGATTCGTTTCCTTTCTTTTCCTTTTTTTTTTTTTTTTTCTGGTTTTTTTTCTTTTCTAGTCAACATAGTCTCTCAAGTAGGTTGGTCGTTGGCGGTTCCTTCTTGGCCTAGTGTGTGGTTCTGGTGATGTCTGCGTAGATGGTTTTGCTTCTGGCGGTGTGAAGACAGATCTGGATGTAGATTCTTTGTTTGAAGAGAGATCTGGTTGTGTAGGACTGGTTTCATCTGGCTGGGTTTCAGGGTTCGATTGAAGAAGAATGCCTTCTCTCCAGTCGTCCTCGGATTCTGCATCATCCTGATGCATGGTTACGTCATCTGTGTTGCGCACTACGCTGTTGACAAGTTTAAAGTGGCTGGCATCTCGATAAATGTCTCGCCCGTCGGTGACTCTTCTGGCTGCTATGGATGAGTTATCGATGCGGTATATGATGTAGAATGCCGGTTCATATGCTGTGCTCCATTTGTTCTTCTTGGTCTGTTTGAGAAGGACGTAGTCTCCAACTACAAAGTTGTGTTGTTTTGTATTCCTGTTTTCAGCATTCTGTTTCAGCCTTTCCTTGTACTGTTTGTCGTTTTCGTCAATGATGCTGTCCTTGATGTTTTGAGTGTGTTTTCCGGGTTGGTGGTCAAGCTTTGTTCTCACCGGTCTGTTCATCAGTGCTTCGTATGGTGTGATGTTAGTTGCTGGGTGTGGCGTTGAGCGGTATCCAGTGAGCATCTCCTGGATGATGATGTTTCTGTTCTTCTTCTGAAGATGGGCAATTTGCTCTGCTCGGTTCAGCAACTTCATGAAACTCTCGGCTTCTCCGTTAGCTCTGGCATGGTCTGGTGTGACTTTATGGTGGTGGAGTCCCTCTCGCTTGGCGAATTCAGTGAATTCCTTGGAGTTGAAAGGGGGCCCATTGTCGCTTTCTAGTCGTCGCGGTGTCCCGTGTGCAGCGAACATCTCCTTCAATTTCTCCATTGTCGGTTTGAACGCCGTTGAGTGGGTAGTCTTGACTTCTGGGTATCTGGTACGTTTATCTACAGCGACTAGGTTGTAGTGACCATCTGGGTACGGTCCTCCGAAGTCTACAGCGATAACTTCCCATGGTTTCTCTGGTATGGGTGTCATCTTGATTGGTTGCTGCTTATGGTCTTTTGTAGTTACCTGGCATTCGTAGCATTGTCCGATGATCTGCTCCACCATACTGTTCATCATTGGAAACCAGTATTTCTCTCGGAGCATCTGCTTGGTCTTCGTCATCCCGAGATGTCCTAAACTGTGTGCTGCCTTGATGACTTTGTGCTGCAGGCAGTTGGGTATGACGATGCGGTTAAGTCGGAACATCAGGCCGTCTGCTTCGTACAGCTCCTGTCGGATTGAATAGAAAGGTGTGATGTCTGGGTCCTTTCTGTGACTTTCCCAGTCTTCCGCACGGATTCTCTTGTGTAGTTTCTGGAGCTGTTTGTCATGTTGGGTTTCATCTCTGATTCGGTCGATGATAACTGCATGGTCTGCTTCTATGACTTGTTTTATCATCTTCTCGGTGCTATCCGTTCCAGTCTCCGGCAGGGGGTGTCTGGAAAGGAAGTCTAGCGGGTCTGCTTCGTCCTTGCCTGGTTCATAGACAAGTTCAAAGTCGACGTCTTGCATGTTCATCACCCATTTCTCAATTCTTGGAGGGAGCTTGGCTGTCGTCTTGTTGAACATGGGTATCAGAGGTTTGTGAGCGGTGATGATGCGGAATTTGGGTGCACCGTGAAGATAGATGCGAAATCTGTTTTTCGCCCACTGGACAGCTAGAGCATCTTTCTCAGTCTGGCTGTATCTCTTCTCTGCTTGTGTCATGGTGCGGCTGATGAAGTGTACTGGTTGAAGTCCTTTGGGAGTCTCTTGGAAGAGTCCAGCTGATAGACCTTGATGATAGCTTGCTTCAGCTCGCACTGTGATTGGCAGTTTTGGGTTGAAGTACGCCATGGTATCTTCATTGGTGATACTGTCCTTCAGCTTCTCGAAGGCTGCGTTCTCTTCTGGTCCCCATTTGAACTTGCTGTCTTTGTGTGTCAGCTCTCTCAGCGGTGCTGTCAGTGATGTATATCTAGGGATGAATTTGGAGAGATATCCAATCATGCCTAGGAAACTTCTCACAGCTTCTTTGGACTCTGGGGCCTTGCTCTCTTTGATTGCTCGAACTTTGTCGGGAGTCGGCTTGAGTCCATCCTCTGTGAACTTGTAGCCATAGAACTCAATCTCCTCAACTCCGAACTGGCATTTGTCAAGGTTGAAGGTAATGCCAAAGTCAGCTGCTCTTTGCAAGACTGCTTGCAACGCTTTGTCGTGTTCTTCGATGTTACGCCCTCCCAAGAGAATGTCGTCTCGCTGGTTGAGGCTCTTTGGGATGTCCCCAAATATTTTGAAGATAGTCTCATCGAAGAGATCTTGGGATGCTTTGGCACCGAAGACTAATCGTCTTGGACGCAGATTGCCCCAAGGTGTGCTGAAGGTTGCTATGCCTCTCGATTCTGGGTCTAGTAGGAGCTGGTGATAGCCCTGTTTCATGTCAAGTTTAGAGAAGACTTTGCAGTCATGGAACTTGTACATGAAATCTTCAACCACAGGCCCTTGTGTGATCCTGTTCCTCTCCATGAATTTGTTTGGGACGCGTAGATCGACACTGGCTCTGATCATGTGTGGTTGTAGCTCATCTCTCGGCGTCTGTCCGAATCGTGGCTTTGGTTACACCACGAGTGGGGAACACCATGTCACTGGCTCGCCTGGGGGAACTTCCTCAAAGATGCCTTCCTTGATGCACTGGTCTAACCATTCTTTTAATGGTTTCTGGAGGTAGTATGCTACAGGTCTCGGTTTCTGGGCTACTGGTGCTGCTTCTGGCTTCATGTTGAATTTTGCGAAGATGTCTGTGTCGCTCTTGACATCTCGGATCAGGCCGATACCCTGAAATACCCTTTTGTATTTTTCGACGATTTTCTGTGTCTGCTGGCGAGCTGTGGTAGTGTTGCTGATTGATTTGACAGTCTGGGTGTTCTCTGGAATTCGAAGGTCGTTTATTTCTGCAAGGGAGCCGTCTGGTTGGAGTTTCATCATCCCCAGTTCAATGAGGGTGTTTTTGCTGATAAGTGGAGGTGAGTTAATTCTGCCTTTGACAACAACAAACTTTGTTGCTGCTCCACGTGTGTCATTTCTGACGATCGTCCGAAACTCCCCTTTTACAGGTAAGTCACTCTGCAAGGTGTGTAGTTTGATATGGCTTGCCTGTAGTGATTGTGGATTGCTCGATCTGTGCTGCAGTGCCTTGTGTTGGTGTTCATCCATGATGTTTACCTCTGCTCCGCTGTCTGGCTCAATCCGTACATCAACGTCGTCAATGCGGACTGTGACTGTGCTGTCGTCATGGACGGTTTTTGCGATTCTCCGCACTTGCTTCAGGTGTTTGACTGCCTGGTCAAAGAATTCGTCATCAGAAGAAGTTTGATCGTCTTCTTCCATGCTCGTCTTCTTTACGTGATTCCCACGCTGCTTGGGTTTGGCATATTTTGGGGGGACAGGCTGACTGGGCGGGCCTCTGCTTTCTGCACGGAGTCGGTCGGCTCGGCAAACGGATGCAAAGTGATTCCACTTCTGGCATTTGTTGCATTTCTTGCCGTAGGCCGGGCAGTTTTTGCCTTGTGGGTGGGTGCCGGTCAGTCCACAGTATGCGCACGGTGGTGATTTATGGAATTTGGGCTTTCCATAATGCCCACCGGTGGATTTCTTCTGTCGTGATGATTGCTGATATCCCACCTTGGCCACATTGCTTGCTCCGTCATCAGGGGGTCTCATGCTGCTTATCTGCAAGGACGTATCCTCTATCTGTGCGGCCTCTGTTAACATTTGTGTCAGCGACCACTTCTTGTTAATGGCTTTCTGGATGAGGGATTTGCTTGTTATGGTTTGGATCAGGTGCTCTAGAATTCGGTCATCACGAGTGTCTCCAAACTCACATTGAATGGCCTTTTCCCTTAGCCTAGCTGCATAAGCCATGGTGGTTTCTTGGGGTGTGGGTCTCATCTTCAGGAACAGGTATCTGGCATGATGTTTATTTTTCTTTGGGGTATAGTAACTGTTTAGTTTTGTCTTCAGTTTCTCATAAACATCATCCACATCCCCTGGATTGGGTAAGCTTTTCTCCAGTCTGGCGATTTCTTTGCCACCATAAATGATCAGGGCGTCCTTTTTGTCGATGGGGCTGCTAATTTTGAAGTAGCGAAATTCTCTCTCTATGCCCTCTAGCCATTCTTCCCAAGCGTTTCCAGTTGATATTTGGTCATCAGGGTGAGTAAATGGTTGACTCTTCAAGTTTCTGGTTTCAGTTACAACAGTTATCGGTACAGGTTGCTGTCCTGATCCCGTGGCCATGCTGTTACTACACCAAAAGTACACGATGTCAATGTCAATTTTCGCCACAAATTCACTCCTTTTTCTGCATAAGTTTCTGCTTTACTAGGTATTCAGTTGCTTACCCAGACATCAGAGGTTTTTTCTGTTTATCCTCGTCGCCAATGTAATGTCCAATGCTTATAATAATCCGATTTCAGACTGAATAAAACACAGACACGATTTCTGCTGTTCTGATGCATATGTGCCATGTTGGATGCATAATACAACACATGTGAGCTTGCTGTGATTGAAGCATTTAACTAGAATAATAGTGGCTCATCATTGAAGCCTTTAAATAATATAATGAGGGTTATTACACTTGTAACCTCTGAAATTGATCATTTGCCATTCAAGTGGCATTAAAACTGACGTCAAACTAATTAATATTTGTTGGGTAGGTCATTTGATTCGCAGAAGCATTCTTGGAGGAAGAGTACACACATAAAGGAGTGCATCTTCTTTTACAAAATCGTACATGTCAGACGTATAGGGACAGGAAAAACTGAACCCCAAATTCATAGAATGTTCCAAATGCATCTTCTATTGTAGTATTTTAGAAAAATCACATTTAAGAAAGGCAAATAAACAAGATTTCAGTTTACAAATGTACATCCATCATACTAACCAGATTTACAAACATCCATGTATCATTGCAGTAGAATGCACAAGGTTTTCATTTTCAACTTGGTTGTAAATGTAATGTAACTGATATTAATTTGATGAGGCACTCAGAAAGCACTGTGAAAGAGACAACCAACGGATTGCATATGATTTAGTTTTAAACTATCGCTTGAGTTCAAAATCACACGTATTTCATCCAGTTGCTTTTGAGTACATGGAGGTGCAAAATCTTTTTCATTCAAAAATAAGTTGCATTAATTTAAACTCAACAATTTTCCCAATAATTGAAAAATCGAAAAACAAAATTTAAGGAAATATTTACATTTTTTACAGGAGTAGGGTTATATTTTATACTTGGAAAACACATCATGCATTGACTTCGTATTTGCTGAGACAAATCTGAGAAAATTGAACTAAATTGCCTTTCGTGGTAATACTTTCCCTCTCATTGATAATACTTTAAAAATGTACACTGCGCTATTTGCAAACAATGTGAAGGGTCATTCCTTTGATCTCATTATTGGGCCACCAGATCTACATGTAGCATTTTATTGGAAGTAGATTTAAAGTATAAGAGTCGACACATACAAACACCAAAGACCTTAGAAATAAACCATATATACAGTATTATCGAAAGTTTTATTGAGGGAATGAACTTTAATGTTCCTTTTCAGAACAATGTTCGATGTCTGATGGAAGTGTTTGGTGGATACACTGGATAGCCCCAGTTTAATTAATCTGTCCTTACACTCGGTGATAGATCTGTACAGACTGTCCTGAAGCCACTACCAGATCACCACCTGATGTGAATGTGATGTCACTTGGAGGACCACATCCCTTGATCACACATCCAATGTACTTGCCATCAGGACTGTAATACAGAATATCACCTGTTGAACGTCCGCACACAGCAACATAGATGCTGCCATCACTGTCACAGCACACACAAGTAGGGCCCCAACACCCCTGCATGTTGCTGGTAATGTCAACTGAGAATACACTGGCACCATAGTAGTCTACACATACCAACCTTTTGGTCATGCCTGTTGTGTAGATCAGGCGGTGATTGTGCATTGTCAGATAACCTCTAATCATTGATGCAAGCAGTCTCCTGATGAGGGATCCACCTGGGTTGTGTAGAGATATCTCATTCTTGCCTCCATAACCCACTGCTATCAGATTGCTGTCATCCACTGCAAGGCATGTTGGTTTTCTGTACCCTCTACCTGGTGTGAACTGATGGAGGAGCTGATGTTGCTTGTTGAAGACCTTGACTACTGGAATATCTAGAGCAAGGAGCTTGTCATCCTTGCTCACTGCAATACACCTGACACCAGTGAGGCCATTGATTTGTAGCCTTTGTGGGATAGGAGATGGTGTATGTTGACTATTGGTCAGTGATACTGTGAATAGTGTTTTATTCCAATTGTTTAATACTATGTTATTGTCAGAGAGTGCTGACACATGTCGTATCTGTGTATTTCCTAATTTCAAGCTCTTGAATTCAGTCTTCAGTTCCCATTTCTCCTTCACACATGATCTTCCAGGTCTTGGTAATTGCCTTTCTGCAGCCTGTGGCTCTTCCTCCAGAATGAGTCTCCCAAGTGACCTCTCATCTTCTTCAAAGTCCAGGAAGGTCAACTTGTCAGGAACTTGCTGTGGCTGTTTCCCTGTCAATTCACTGAGGTTATGCAAGAGCTTCTGCTGAAGTTCAAGAATCTCACAGCAACTTGCTTGATTCATGAGTTGTTTGACCTCCTCCAGCTTGTGCTCTGTCTGTGTCACCTCTTTCCTGTTATTGGCTTGAGCAGCTTCAAATGTTGTGACTCTTTCTTGATAAATTCTTTCAGTCTCTTTTAACAGTTTGTGCTCTTCTTGTCGGGTCTTGGCAACCTCTTGGTCAGCTTTTTCTGACATTTTCTTCTTGGTGGTTGCAAACATGATGTCAAGTTTCTTGCGAGATATGCAAGTTTTCTCTATGGTGGTGTTCAGTTCTGTTTTACTGTTACTAACTTTTGAGACAAGTTCTTCAACTTTTTTCTTACACTTTTCAAAAGCCTCAGATAGGCCGATGAGGGAATGTTTTGGATTCCCATGATCGAGAACAGTACACGTGAGACATATGACTTGCTCACATGTGTCGCAGTAGACATTGAGATTCTGATCTGGATGCTTGCCACATTTGGGAACTTCTTCTCTTAGTTTACTCTTGTAGACAATCTCTCCTGATCGAAGTTGAGCAAGTGTGTAGATTTTATGAGATTTCATCAAAGTCATACGTCCATGAGCCTTTTGACATTCTTGACAGAGGAAATGATCACAGTCAATGCATCTTGATATAGCCTTATTCTCCTCATCACAGGCTTGACATTTGATCTCTGACCCTTTACCTTCCAGTAGCTTTTCCTGCATTGTAACTTCCTCCACCAGGGCGCTGAATGCAAAGTTATTAGGGAGATCAGCAACCCCAGACCCTTTTAACGTGGTTTCACATCTGCACAGAGGACATGTCAGCTTTGTAGCACTAGGATCTTGGCTCTGTCTGAGGTCGTGGAGGCATTGCAGGCAAAAACTATGCAAACAGTCCAGCAGTTTGGGCTGCCTGAAACGGTTGGTGCAGATGGAGCATTCCAGATGATCCACACTAATCTTCTCCAACACTGATTGAACTGTAACATTAGATGCCATCTTCACTAGTTGATTTGATGTGATACGGGTAGGCCTACATGTAGATAAAACTTGAACCTGCAAATAAAGCACATGAAGTAAAAGATTTTGGAATTACATGAATTCTAACTTCAAATGATGACAATGTGACGTGGCGTACCAGCTGTTCTCCTTCATCTTGCTGGATAATTTGGTAGCGCCTCGATGGTGTCGTACCCTTATAGTGGTGGGCCTTAGCACCGGCACTAGCTCCCCTTTCTCGGTGGAATAGCTGAGGAACAGTAGACTTAAGTAGAGCCATTGGAATACACAGCTGAATGGGTTGTGGAATCAGAATAAGAATCAGACTGGTAAGAGTCGGAATGTGGAGGCAGAATCTGGGTGGAGTAGTTTGTGGGGGGAGTTGGAATGTGGGTGGAGCATCTTATTTCTTAAAGGGCCGGGCTAGTTTGATCATCTCTCAACCGGGGGGGGGGGGGGGATTCCCCTCAAATTTTGGCCATCGAGAGACGAACAATTTTGAAACTCAATACATGCATAGAACAACTCTGCATGAGCATACCCAAGAAATTTCATGACTATAGGTCAAAGGGTTTTGGAATTGTGGCTAATTAATTATTCATATGCATGAATGGTAATGCTGCTCTGTGTACATTATCTATGGGGAAATTCAGTTTTCATGGCGCATAGCGCCGGGAAATTTTTCGTTGCACAGCAACCTGTTGTCGGATTTTTATGTTTTTTGTATGAAAAGATGCACAAGGCTCGGCTTATAAGTCAGAACAGCTCGGGTTGCATCATGAAAAAAGTTGAGGGGGAGCGGATTCTGCACTCCCCCCCCTCCCCCGGCCTCTTTAGGGTTAAGGTTTGAGTAACTTCTTTCCCATGGGATTTTGCTCTTTAATCCTTTAATCCTAAGTAGATTCAACCCTAGAAAATAGACTTATAATTGGTGATCGGAGACATATCAAGAACAGTGGTCGTGCACTTAATCATGCATTCATCCGTCATCATCTGTCATGTCATTCCATCATTATCAAGAGCCTCCTAATCAAGCAATCAACTGCCTAAATCCTAGTCCTGCAATGCCTTTTAATACACTTTGAGCCCCATATGTTAAGTACAACTTCTCTTTGCCATCACTGCCAACCTAGTTGACCAATCAGATACCAGGAATCCCCAATATGCAAAGTGTGGGTTACTCACATGTTGATACTCAAAACATACAGTTGGTAACTTTATATTTCCTGTTCTATCACAGTATGCTTGTAAAATTGTCAAAATGAGTATTTAGAAATTTGAAAGATTATTCCCCTACTATAAGCATGATTCAAGCCTGGTGTTTAATATTTTTTTCACAAGAAAAGAGCAATTAGTAGGGTTTACACTAAAGAGCAGTTGTATTCTGAAAAATGCAATATATTTCAGCTGTGACATGTATGTGACATTTTCCACTCCTTAGTAAGGGGAGTTCTAGTAATCATTACGAATTTCTCCCATTTAAAATTCTCTCAAAATTCCACATCCTTTTCAAAGAGAAGATTAATGGGAACATGTCTCCTATGGGGATAAGTATCAGTCTAATCACTCAACGCCTCTTAAAACTTGCCAATTGTGATATGTCCACAGTCAACCTAGGTCACCAACAGATGGTCTGGGGGCATCCCAGTGGGCAAAATACGTTGAAATAA